TCGGGTATAATTTATTGACAACTATGTATATTTACTTCGGAAGTTTATTTACGTAACCTCGGGTCTGAAAAAGACTATAAGGACTTACAATGCGTCAGTACCTATAGGCTTGTACAAGCTATAGTATTAGCACACTAGATCTTATAAGAATAAATATAAATAGTTCGTGATTTACGCGTAGTGGTAGGATGAACGGGTTAAGAGGGCTATAACCCCTTCAACAGAATTCTGTAAAGCCCCCTCAGAATTTTCAAGAAGTCCCGGCAGCGTTGTCGATATCACAAGGAAAAAAAGGCTAACCCCCCCCCCTACAATTAATGAATTCATCACGCCTAAGGATAAACGTACGGCATTCGGTATATTTTGTATACAGATATATATTATACCTACATATTATAATTATATGTATATATTATATAAGCAATTCAAAAATAAACCTACCAGTCTCCAATATAATAGCCTTCCTTCAACAGTCTGGTTTGCTCAAACTTATCTAATAACCATACACATTAAATAATCATTTTTTATTCTTTTGTCTTTTTTTTTTTTGTTTTTTGTTTTTGTTTTCTAACACATAACATGTAGTAACGTTATTATAATATACTAGCTGCCCGATCTTCCTCCGGAAGAAATTATTTTTTTATAATTTAATTTAAAAACATAAGACTATTTTTTGGCTATACAAATAATACAACGATTATAAAATAAAATAAAGAAACAGACATCGTTATCGGTGAATATATGAAAATAATTGGTAATTAGTTAATTATTATTATTATTATTATTATGAGGGTTCAAAACCGGTTTCCTTCGTCTCCAAAATCAAGTTAGATTCTTATACATATAGATTATATATCCCAATGGCCTTGCTGCCGAGGGTTTTTGTTTTTTCTTAATAAAAAAAAAAAAATTCAAAAATAAACTCTAATATAGTAATAATAATAATAATAATAATAATAATAGATATAGCATCAATAGCGGCAATCGCGGTTCCCATCGCCCCTCAATTACATCCTTAGTTTAGAATACTTACAAGTAAGTAATAGCTCGTTTGTTCCAACCATCCGAAGGTATTACAAATCTTTTGTTTTTGGTGTTCTTTTGTTTTAGGGATATGTCAGGTACACCACAACGTTTTGACTTTACTAACTAAAACATTTTAATAACTTAAATTATAATACCTCCTCAATAAAACGTTGTCCATCACAATAAAAAAAGGTCCCACCGATGTTTGGATTTATACTATATATAGTTACGCAGCAGGCACGTATACAATTGTACGTATTAGAATAAATGTCACGGTGTCTTCATTACGACAAAACAACCAAATGAAATATCAAATATTTAATCTTACATGGCCATATTATAGAAAAAAAATATTTTTTGAAAACATTTTAGGAGGACTTGCGTACAATTGCGGACAACTGCGTCTACTTGTCTTGGTGTCTGTTAATTTTACTTTATGAGTACCTATTGAGTGTATTAAATTGTATATTATTTTACTGAATTTCAATTTCCAAAGATAGAATGCGATATCAGTGTGCGGCTTTACACCAGGGCTTAAAACCGTTCCTAAAATTATAGGTAATCTGGTTACCTTACACCAGAATAATGTAGTGGCTACCGGTTACCGATTTTTAATGGTTTATGAAATATGTAAATAACCGCTTACCGATTTTAAGTTTTAATCGGTTTGAATACCGTTTTCCACAAAATGTTTTTTGTTATCATTTATCAATTACGAATTATTTATGTGTTTATAATACGGACCAAGATATATCTATATAAAGTAAATCTGAATATACTCTTAATTGTCTTAAGAGGATGTCAGCGCACCATTTGTTTTCTCTATCTGGCCCACGCGCGCAACATAGACAAAATGCTTTTACGAATTACGAATTACGGGGACTTATCGATTCCGCCAATTTAGCATTGATTCCGCCAGTATCGACTCCGCCAGTTCAGGTAGGTAGTCTAAAAACAACCTATCGATTCCGCCACCTACCAATTTCTACCTCGACCTGGCAACTGCTGCTGTCAACCTATTTCTGTTATAATAATAATAATATATCTAAAAAATAATTCAATAATTAATTTAAATATTAAAAATAAAATTAATAATCAGTTTAATAATTAATACAATACAATATATACATATATATAATAATACAATTAAATTAGTCAAATATGGTTTTAAGTTATACAATGATATTTTTATGGTATGATGGATGCCAAACTAATGCAATGTGAATTAATATATACATAAAATAATAAAATATAGTTAAATAAATAAAATTGTATAATAATAATAATATAGGTATCTACAAAATAAGTCAATATTGAATTTTAATATAAATTAATAAAAAATTATTTTTTCCCTGGCGGAATCGATAGGTCGTTTTTAAACTATATCTGCATTGGGGGAATCGATGCTGGCGGAATCGATAAGCCTTATACCCAAGTATAAAATGGTCTGGCGGAATCGATGAAACCCCACGAATTACTGTACCTATTACGAGAAACGGCCAAATAGGGGAATACCAGTAATATGAAATAATCACTAATCAGCACAGTTATAAATATATTGTTTTTAATATACATCATAAATTCATAAACATATTAGTATTACCCGCATGGCGTAGGTATTGGCGCATGGCGTGTACCCGGTGTACGTATATTTTGACATTGTGATTGTGTATAATATATAATTATATCATACACTTATAAGTTCAATATAACAGGTAAATATTTTTCTACAAATAAAATATAAACTGAAATAACAATAAATGATTGGTAATTGGAACAAAAAAATCTTTTCCGCATTATAATGGTAACCTAAATGAACGATTTTCAGAAATGTTGATAATTGATTTTTGGTATACGACTTTATAAAAATGTTAATCGGTTACCGACATGGGCGGATAGGCCTACCGGGAAACCGGACATTTCCCGGTGGGCCCCCCTTTGTACTTCGGTAATGGGGCCCTTTAATAAAATGCAATTACCTACGATAGAAATGATTTGAAATTTTTTTTTCATGTGTGGGGCCCCTCTGTAAAATTTCCCGGTAGGCCAAAATTGGCCTATCCGCCCATGGTTACCGATATCCGCTTTCCATACTGCAAATAAGACCGGTAACGGTTTTAAGCCCTGCTTTACACGTCATTAGATTTTCATGATTTTTGTTTGGGTAAACACTACAATAAATATACATCACAAAAGACAATCTTCAAAATTAAGTAGTATTGTATCTGATACTGATATAATAAGAATTTAAAGAAAGACTTCAGGAAAATAATTATTTCAAGATAAGCAAACACAAATTTTTTTTTCTTTGACTTAAAGATTCTATTTTTACCATTGTTACCTACCTGCGTGAAAAAGCCAAAAGGCTTATATGCCCATTATCCACTAATGTTTTCAGCAAAGTCACATTGATTATATATATCCTACAGAGGCCGAAAATATTAAACTGTCCAAATCACATTTTTATATCCATAAATGTATTATGTATATCTTATTGTTGTTTGATACATTTTGTCTAATATACCCTAATCGTCTAATATATCAAATAATAATAGCTACAGTGGATAGGTTAGGTAAGTACTTAATGTCAAGTAAGCACGAATAATATTTTTAAATTACAATAACTAAAATATTGTTATGCTTTATTTTAATTTTTAATTTTTGCCAAAATTTGAACTTAAAAGTTAAAATATATTTTTTTTAGAACTGGTTAGAACACTTTTTTAGATTTTTTAGTTACTGGATGAAATACTTTTGAAACCCCTATATCATTAAAGGTTCTAAATAAGTTAATAATAATGTAATTTTAATAAATAGTTGAGCGTTAATCCACAATATTTTTTAATGTTTGCTTGAAGTTAGAATTAGGGACCACCCATTTCACGGCTATGTGGCTCTAGAAAAATGTCTGCAGACACTTAAAGTTAATGTTGGTTAAATACAAATCTTGTACTATAATTATAAGTGTTTTACCTAAATTATAATTATTTTCATTAATGTAAATGTACCTTCAGTATTCACTTTTGATATTATTCTTCATAAGTGATTTAACAATAATACTAAGATTAGTAAAGGGTAAAATATTTATCATTATTACTTCGAAAAAACGAGCAAAAAGTTTCTAAAATTTAAAAATATCCAACTCAGTTTATGCATCGCAATATATATACAAACCTTTAATGTATCATCATCAATTATTCCTGTCTGTTCTAATCCACCAAACTTTTGTACTAATTTCAAAGCAGTATTCAATTCATCTTTGGCAGTTAATGCTTGGGGACCATCTTGAACCAAATACCCAAATTTTTGCATAAATTTAATCTATAAATTTAAATAAGAAAAAATTATAAGTGGTAGCAATCTTTTATTTAAATATACAGTACCATATCTTGATTTTGATACATTTGTTCACTATTGTCCTCTCTGATCTCCCGATTTTGTAATAAAGGTGAACAAGTAATTGTTACAGTAAACCACAAAAGGCACGTGCATAATAGTGTATAATTCATTGTTAATTAAAAATATATAGGTTAACTTACTGTAAACAATGAAGTAACCTTTTATATATAATATATTTTAATACTTATACACCTGTCCTACCTATATATTATATAAATTTACAAAAGAAACTAGTAAGATTATTATAATTTGATTGCAAGTAATTATGAGAAATAATATTAAAACGTAAATACCTAGTTTATAGGTTAGTTTATTACATCCATATTATAATCAATATAGGCCAAACCTAATTAATAATAGAATATATTTGGGTCAAAACGATAAATTTAGGTTTTGATAAAACTAACTAAATAAATTAAAATATTGATAACTATAAACAATAAACATTATTAAAATACGTCATATGTTTAACAAAAAAGTATACCTATTATACAGAGTCAATTTTTTACTATAGGTACTGCAGACTTATAACTTTTTTCTTTTTTTTTATTAATATAGCTTTAAGTAACAACTAATATAGCACAGTAGTTATATAATAGAAGAGTACAAATTAAATTAAATTAAGCACATAGGTAATTTATATAATAAAGCCGGCATCCAAAGTAAATTTAACAATACTTTTAATAGTGAAGATGCAATAAGTATTGAGAATGGAGTGGAGATTAAAAGGACAATTTAAAGATCTAAGAGTATTAATTAAGACTAGACGTTCGGATACCAGAGCAGAGCAATCGAATAATATATGAGATGGATCACAAATACACTAATTGAGATGAAATTTACAAAATGGAAAGTTGTTTAAACCAAGTTTGAACGAATGACTAGGTAATAGATAATATCCTCTGCGTAATCTGTTAAATTGTGTAATATGTGATCTATAGACTTGTAATTAATTTTGGATATTTTACCTACAGATATTTAAATCGTGTACGATCAAATATTTTTTGAGGGAGAAAGAAGAGGAGAGTATGACGAGTAGGTTATCTATTATAGCAATCAGATTTTTCATTGAAAATTTGTCATATGAAAATGCAGTCACTATAATGTCCCTTCACTGAATTGGTACCTATACAGTGCGTGTTCAACGATAAAGGTACCTGACATGAAATATTTCGAACATATAACACTGAATTTCATTTGGGATTTTTCATTACATAAAGAACTTAAAATTACATCTATTTTTGAAAAAATTTAATTTTTAAAAAAATGTCCCCGCGTGCGCAACGAAACAATTTTTTAATTGTACCCCTTTTTTAAGTTAAAATTTTTTTTTAACACTTATTTGGAAACTATATATCTGTGAGGGTAATTTACAATAAGCATATATGCGGTGTTTATGTGTTTTTTTACGTGAATTTCCATGAGTTTAACGAACTACCCAACAGTAGTACTTATGCGTGAAGGGAGTTTAAATTTAAGTTATTTTATTCAAGCAATTTTGATTTATAGAATTTTTTTTATTTCAAAAATGTATATATTGAGAGACTTATTAAAGTTTTGATTAATGTTTTATCGTATTTTTTGACAGTCTATCAACAATTCTATAGTGTTTTGTTCGATTTTGTATGTGAAAATAATTTAAGGGTGATTTGCTTGCCAACCTACACCTGAACTATCAAGAAAAAACATGCGAAATCACACTGGACATTGAGAAATTGTAGGAGGTGTGTATAAATACGATGAATACAAAAGCATAAATCCAAACATTAACTCACAATTAATTTTTAAGATGTAACATAGAAAAATATTTTATAAATTATAAGTCAAAGTAGCTTAAGAAATTAAAGTAATACAAATTCCAACCTAAACAAGTGGGACGCATAATTTAAAATAATACACTGAACATTTTTTTTTTCAAATTTTAAAACCTTTATGCAGTGGAAAAAATTGAAATTGAGAATGAAATTTAAAGTTATAAGTTCGATATATTTCGTGTTACTTTTATCGTTAAATATACTGTATTTGTGTAGGCTTATAATAAATATGAATTTATATTAATAGGCTTGTATTATATATTTATCAATTTTTATCAATAAAAATAATAAAATTGTGTTTTATTTTAATCACGGACGTACATATATCTATATGTATACGTATATGTACGTCCGTGATTTTAATACAAATTTTTAATTGTATATTTCCAATATTCCATTGTTATTTAATGAATTGAAAACATCTCTTTCAATATTATTTAACTATGCAATAAATTCAATAATTTAAATCTCTGTCCATTGTTTTGTTATTATTTCATCATTTTTATTGGTAGACAATGTATAATACTGTGATAATTAATTATGTATATTAAATGATAATAAACAACGAATACCACGCCGTATATCTTGTAGTGTTATCATACAAATCAACGAGTCTTATTAGTTATTACTTTTTTTTAGTCAGCGACTCGAGCTTGAAAAACGAGTGACAGGCGCAAACACGATGTGTGTTGCGAGTATTGTGTTGTGATGCCTCGATTTGTATGAGATTTTTTCGAAAAATGTTGTTGTTTTAAATTAGTGTTTATCTTTACATTTGAAAAATATCCTAAAAGTAATTTTGAAAATACCCAGAATTTGAAAATAGAAAAAAAAATTCCAAAAATATGTTCATTGAGGTATCACAATAAGGACTCGTACACTAATGAGTAGTGACCGACCTCATCCATTTCAGAAACACTTGTATATAAAAATAGTACATACTTGATACTAATATATTTTTTAGATTTTTTTATTCCAGTGTGAACAACTTTTTAGTTAAAAAGAACTTTGACATACATTTTCAAGGTTTTTGAGCAAAGTTTTTTTTATTGATAGTTATAGAAAAAAACTATAAGAAATCAAAAATGTCTGATTATAAATTCTCAAAAAGACTTAAGCTATTTCGAAAATTATACCATGTATAAAAACTACCAATGAAAAAGATGTGATGAAAATTTCAAGCATCTACAGTCTACAGATATTTGTTTTTTAATTAGGTTTAACAAAATAAAAAATTAATTTGATGAGAAACGTTATACTCATTATACGCGTGAATATCAAATTTTGTAAACATTTTAACTTCAAACACTCATAAAAAGTTATGGTTAACAGATTCTAAGAAAAGCAATGAATGAATTTCAAACATTTTAAAATTGTAAAGAATATTCCTTACACGTTTTTCTAATAAGAAGTCTATTCAAATAATATATACCATTGTAAAGTCAGAAAATTTATATTTAATCGCTCTGATTTGAATCTAAATAATAATTTGTTAGTCTGTGTCCTAAAGTAAAACGGAATTGATTTATCAAAGATATATTTTTTTGAATAAATAAGTTTTGGAACAATTAAAGGTCTTAAAATGTTTATTTAAAAAAATGTTACAATTGTTCTCAGCTAAAAAATTTTTTGAACAATGCTAAATTATGTGCATTAATAATACTATTTAAACCTTTTAGAATTGTAGTGAAATTATTTTTTTTACCAAGGAAGTTCTTTCCCTTCAAAGTCATAAAATCCACCATTGTGAGATTTGTTGATATTCTTCAGGAAGTGGCAGATTCCTGTAACAGACTGTTCAACTTCAAGTGGTGCACTTTTACCACCCATTGCGGTTTTAACCCATCCAGGATGAATGCTAACTGCCAATATGCCGTCGTTCTTAAGATCAACACTCAACGATTTTGTAGCAACATTTATGGCAGTCTAAAACCACATATATATATATATTTATTATCAATTTTATAATAAATAGTACCTAATAATTATTATTATTTTATATATATTAGCTATTAAGGGTTACAAAATTATAATTATTTTTTGAATATCAACTTTCTATATAGAATGGACAACATAAAAAAAAATTTTATCATACAAAAATAAATAAGTATGTACAGTAAATAACAGAAGCATATCGATTATATTTGATCCAATGATGCTTTGGCAACATAATACAACTGAAGCGTGGGTAAAAATATGTAATATCATGCTGAGTAAACATTCACTAATATCTAATAGGTACTTAGATTAATACATAAAATATAATAGTAAATATATAAATATGCTTAAGATTAGGGTATACCAAACAATACTAGGCAACATAATATTTTAATTTGATATGCCACTTTTTTTTATTGTAGTATAGCTATAGATAATAACAGCTATACATTACCTTGCTTGTTCTATATGGATAAAAACCACCTTGATCATTTTTAGTGATTGAACCCAAAATTGAACTCATATTAACAATTACAGCTTTATGTACTCCAGTGGCTGATTTATCTTTTTCTGAAGCCATTTTCAATAATGGTAATAATGCCTGAAAAAAATTAGTATTAAGGGAATTTAAACATTTTAATTTGAATGACAATTATATAATATTTACCTGTGTTAACATTATAGGACCAATGGTATTTATTTTGAAATGGTTTAGTAAATCTTCAGATTTTACTAAGCCAATCCTAGTAAATTTTGATGATATTCCAGCATTGTTAATAAGGACATTAAGACCTTTGTCTTTGACAATATTTGAAACTTGTGAAGCCAAATTAAAGAATGACCCATGATCAATTAGATCTACAAGTATAAATGAATAACATTAAAACAAGTACCTAATCAATAGATATTAAGAGTTATATATACACTTATTTATTATCTATTAATTAACTACAAAAAAAGTAATTTAAAAAGTGTCGTAGTAAAATTTTGGGATCAACTGCTTGATAAAAATATCTTATGACAACTATAATATCTGCACCATAGACCAATAAGGCTGTAAATATGTACAAAGTTTATAGGAATAAGTCTATGATCTGCACTCTGCAGTCTGTTCAGTGGAAACCTACCTATGACATTTCTAGGTCTTACACTCTTATGAAGTATGAGTTATACACTGTAATAGGGATGCCAGATGGATATTGTGTAGTGGTAATACATTGAGTTTGTGTCTATAAAAAACATTTTGATATTTTATGCATTATATTAGTGAGACAAGTATAATATCATAATTATTATTTATCAAATTTATATATTCGTATACCTACTTGATATGTGAAACCTCCATGGATAAAATTGGTGTAAATATCAAGTGTCACAGACCTACAGTTATTTGTTTTTGAATTCAAAAAAAATCAAAAAAATTGTTACAAAAGAAATCGGGTGAATATCCAATGTTGTAAAAATTTCAACTTCAAACGCTCATAAAAATTTAATTTGACCCTAAAAAAGAAATTTTATTTTTTTGATAAAGGTAGATAACCTTAAAAGGAATATTTTATTAAATTGTTAATTCTTAGATATGAAAAGAAACATATTCATGAATTTCTTCAAAATTCTAAATTCAAACGCTCATAAAAAATTATTGAGCATTTAAATTCAACTTTTTTTACATTTCCACTAACAGCAATTTACAAGGAACCTTTTTTAATGTTACACCAAAACTGATTGACATTCATTATTTTTGTTATTCCCGGCATTTTAAAAACTACAGGAAATTTTAAATTTTGACCTTTCAAATACACCAACTAGATTCACTTTCCTACCAGCAAAGTTGGTGCTGAAGAAAATCAAAGCACTTTTATTACCTTGATGATAGACACAAAAATAAAAAAACACGAATCATTGTAAAATCAATACATTTATCTTGCCGCTCAGAATGTAAATGAGATGTGTAAGTTTCTACATAGTAAAAATTAATAGGTATATACAATTATGTTTTATTTTCATACATTTTATAATTCAGTCTATATATGTAAATGTGAAAATGGGAATGTTGTCATGCATGTTCCCTGAAACTACTTATCCGATTATCTTGATATTTTTTTTAAAATGAAAGAGTACATTATGTAGCAAGTTTTAGGCTTAATTTCAATTCCATAAGAAATTAAAGGGTAGCACACAAATGTATTTTTTTTTCAGCAAACGAAAAAATAATATTATTTTTATTCATTTAAATTATAGCCAGTGGTAACATATTACATTACAAAACTACTATTATAATCTAAATATTTATACATATAAATGTGAAAATGTTGTCACACATATTCTTTGGAACTGCTCATTTGATAGTCATGCAGTTTTTTTAATATAGAGTACTTTACTACTTTGAGGAACAGGTTTAAAGCATAGACTTAAAGACCCAACTTCTGTCCACAAAATATTGAAAGATATAGGAATAAACTGCGGGCAGTACCAGAGGCAGAACTACAATATTTATGCCTGAGGAAAATCAAAAATTACAATTATATTAAAATGCTGTGGGGGTTTTATTTTAAAGTTAAACTATCATGTATTAAATTTCTTTGTAAACACAACCAGAAAATATATTAATTAAAAAAGACAAAATATTATCATTTCTATTTTCTGGTCAAGCAGGGTAACCACTTTACTACAAGTATCTAATGATCTTATATGAAAACTTAATTAACTGTAATTTCTCTCAGGCTTAAAAATTAAAATATTAAGTGATCTATTGTAATACTTTATAGTTTATAGTTTATGTGTTATTGTGCTGCCCTAGTGCTCCAAAATACCTATGTTATTAAAAATATAAATAGATAGATTACACTATGTATATTGAATTATTTACCTGCTTCCAGAATATGAAGTTGTGGGTTCTTTTTCAATTCCATTAATTCCTGAAAAATGATTTTATAATTTTCATGTGACACTATAGACTAATAACAGGCATTTTGTAACATTCGTTGAACAGATAGTAACCTTGTTTTAAAAAGTCAAGTACTTATAAATTATAATACCTACTACCAAAGTAATATCTAATAATTGATAAAATAAATCTATTAGAATAAATAAATAAAAATTATTCAAGATTTAAAAAACTAAATTCAGACTTAAATTTTGGAACAATATTAACATTAAATGTCTGTTCAATTCAGATCTTGGAGACAACAAAAGTTAGGAACCACATAAAACAAACTAAAAGGAAATTCTAGGTCACAAACAAATTAACACAAATGAACTGTTAAACTTATCAAAATACTAGTATAGGCAGACATGCTAAACCTATAGATCATAAACATGTAAGCTTTTGCCATCCACATATTCCAATGAACAAGATGTTTTAAAAATAAAAAAATTAGAACATCGACTTATTATTTCAATCAAAATACTAGAATTAAATATATAACAATATAATACTTGAAAACCACATATATTAGCCCATAATCAAGATGTCAAGTATTATTTTTCAAATAAAAATAAATGAAGCATAATATTCTTTTAAAATGTATTTATGATCCTTAAACGCATCTTACCAAGTATCTCAAACTCGGTTCTTCCTGATGCCCAATTTAGCTTCCACTCTGCCCACTCTACTATTCATCAGATGCATAGAATTGTCGAAGCCATCTCCTTCTCACTCGAAAAAAAACAGTATTGCACCTGTGCCTTTCTCACAAGCGTTTGATAGGGTATGGCATGATGGTTTTCTTTTTAAATTAAAAAAAATCTTGCACCCTGTTTTTTACCTTATCATAAAATCATACCTTTCCAACCGTCACTTTCAAATCAGCTTCGGTAATGCACACTCAGCTATATCCAATATTTCAGCCGGTGTTCCACAAGGGGGCATACTCTCCCCTGCACTTAATAATATTTATGCTGCTGATCAGCCTACTACACTAAACACTTTAGTTGCTGATTATGCAGACGATAAGGCAATAATATCTATAAATTCTAATCCGGAAATGGCCTCACACAATCTTCAGAATCACCTAACCCTTATGGAAGTCTGGTATACCAAGTGGCGGTTCAAAATTAACCAGTCTAAGTCTATCCACACAACATTCACACTTCGTCTCTCTCCTTGCCCTGAAGTATCTATTTATGGCACTCAAATTCCTACTTCTTCTACAGTCAAATACCTAGGACTCACACTTGATCGCAGACTTACTTGGGCTCCCCACCTTAGATCTAAAAGACAAAATTTAAACTTACGGCTGCGCCTGTTAAAAACTTTTTGCAATAACAACAAATATACACACATTAAAACTAAACTCCTAATTTACAAATCTCTAATTAAGCCCATCTGGACATATGGCATACAACTCTAGGGTAATGCAAAAATGTCAAACATCAACAAAATACAAACCTTCCAAAACTTAGCGCTAAGGAAACTACTTAATGCTCCTCCTTATGTCTTTAACCTTTCCATTCAGCAAGATCTCAGGATGAACTCCGTCAAAGATGAAGCAAAACTCTACTATTAGCGGTTTCACAGTAGGTTACTGAATCATCCTAACCCTCTTATAAAAAATCTAGCAGTCCCATCGATCCCGGGTAACCCCTTCAGACGTCTAAAACGTAATTGGTGTCGTGACCTGCTAAATGCTTGATTTCTAGATCAAATTTCTCCTAATAAACTAAACAAAATAGGTAGTGTCATCAATGGGTGGCTTCTTCCGTCATATTACTCATGTGTTTTTACTCTTATCTAATTTGCTTATTATTCTATGAATAGATTGTAAATATCTAGTAAAAAATAAAATAAAAAATGTATTTAGTTTTAAAATATTACACCATATACTACAAGTTTGATACATGTTTTGATGTTTACAGCACCTACACGGCTACACATATATTGTATTAGTTTGTTACGTATATTAGTTAACAGCTAGTGATGATTTAAGTGAGTAATATTATAGGTAGTTTATAGATATAATATTTAAAACAAATGAAAAAGTTTTTTTGTGCTAAAGGTAATATAATGAATTTTAAAATTTAACTCAATATTGGTGGATGTATTTTGAAAATCATTATAAGTCTATTCAGTTACAAATGTCTACTGTCCAGTGTCCACTATGAAAAAAAAATTAAAAAATGATAACATAATATTCATTGGTATTCTACAAGAATGTAAAAAAATAAATAATAATATTGTTTAATAAGATTATAGTTTGTGGATTAAGAATAAGAGAAATCCGAGTACAAATGTGTTTCCTTCATCTTACAAATGTATACAATAGTTGATTTTGTGTTGTCGACTTAAAAATTATGGAAAATTGACCTATTATTACATTTCAAAGTAAAAATATTGGACATCTAATAGGATTTTATTGATGACTAAATTTTAAAATTGTATTAAATTACTGTTTAAAATTCAAATAACAATACAAGCTTAAGCGATGCCTCGCCTAGATAGTATTATTACCAAAAAGGTCAATTCACCCTTAATATTAAAGACAACAACACAAAATTGTTTCAACAGACAGATGAATAAACATTTTATATTTTATGTAGTAATGGTACAAGTGACCAAGCATGAAATGTAAAAAAGTCATGTCATGGCGTCATGCAGGTTCCGACTCCTGACATTTGTTCACCATCAACCCAAAAGCCTGATAATAGATTATTATTTGCTGGTAAGTGGTAACAATTCTTGTTTGCATAATTCGTAAATTGTTATGTTTGTTCTTTGGTAATATACTATTATAATATGTAGTCATAAATCATAATGTTATTATACAATTTAGTTTAGTGAATTAATTATACGTATTAGTGATTCGCCATTAGCATTTAATAATTAGCATATTGCAAAAAATAATATTATATTAATTATAAGCACTATTGCACTAATAATAAAATAAAACAAAATATATTTATAGTGGATCCGTTTTGAAACTATACCATTTATTATCATAATTCATAGTTTTTAATATACGGCTAAATAGTACATAGACTATAGAGTAATACTCATTGAGAAATATACCCAATACCATAGATTATATTAAACATAGTAATATTACTCTACGTACAGTCATGGCTGAACAATACATTTTTTTGTTAATTTCAAAAAGTAGATTAGGATTGGGCCATTTTTTAAAAACTAGTTTCTTCCATGTGAATATTTAGTTCCATGATATCGATAGATAAGTATGATGAATACTGAATTGCATTACATTGGGTAAGGGTAATGGGTATTGTAGTAATTTCCTTATATTCGTCATATAAACGTTTTTGTTATTGTGAATTTGTGACCATTCTAAGTTCGGCTACTGGCTAGTAAGTAGTAACTACTGTTTAGTAGCTACTTGATTGTAGAGTTATTTACAGATTTGCTTTTGTTTCTAATTTTTAAACTTTGATAAGTTCAACTTAAAACGTGAATCTTACATTTTACAATAGCAATTTTTAAAACTTCGAAATACTACAATTTTAAAATGGCTCCCGTCGACACTAGTGAGTATATAATTAGTAATTACCTTGGCTTTTCCCATATCTCTGCATGTTGCAAATACATTCTCCACATTAAACGCTTGATTTGATAATAAATGTTTCACCAATCCTAGTCCTATTCCTCTATTTGCACCAGTTACTAATACGGAACACATTTTATTGTTTAAGTCGATCGAACTATTTTTTTTTATAGGTGTGCACATTAACTAATAAGTTTAACCATAGAATTGAAACCATTCCAAACCGTGTTTACAGATAATGGGATTGGCTTTTTATTTTTTAAGCAAAACACTGCACCATAACACTGATGAATCTTGTTTCTTATCAATCTTACCTATATTTCCGTCGATTTTTATAACTATGACATATGTTTATTAATAACTTTTTAGTTATTACGCAATCGGCAATTATTGAATTACATAATTATATAATTTATGGTTTCAGTTTTTACTAAAGTTAACGAATATTTTTCATCGGAAAACCAAAGATCAATGTAATAAGATATATTATTTTATTTTATTGAAATGTTCTTCATTCGGTCTTTATCTTCACAAATTTTTCAAAAAAATCGAAATGTTTGTAAGACATTTGCAAACAACAATAAACGATTTTTAAGAAAAATTAGTTTATGTAAATAATTAAACCTATATTTTAAAAGCTTTTGTATTGTATATGGTTACTGTAGTTAATTTATATTGATGCCGTTAGTGTTCAAATATGAATAAACATATTAAATAATATTATTGTCATAATTAATTTCTTATAAATTATAATATTACCTATTATTATTATTAAGTAATATTTGACTTGCTATGTACACATCAAGTAGTAAGTATCATGATTACATATATCTTGATATAAAACAATATAAATAGGTAGTCAATAAGACTTATTTTCCCTCATATATTTGAAATTAATCTACAAGGATGTGGATAGTATATGAATTTGTAGTATCTATCAAACAGTTTTATTATGCTCGCCTAATATATATTTTTACTTAATTGACTTTTAATATATTTTCTACTTGAATGAATTACAATAATTGATTCAATTTGCGATTTTCTATTATAATCACTATTTTATATCAATATAGCTCATCTATTTTATTTTACTTACGTCCTAGGAACTCCTACTAATCATTGGCTTGATAAACCACAAATAATTTAAGTTTTTTAGTCAACCGTATATAATATGATAGCTTCTTCTAGCGTACCTATGTCTCTTTAAGTGTTAAACATATTAATTTTTGTTTCAGGTGGACAGTATGATTTTGATCTTTTAGTGATAGGTGGAGGATCTGGTGGTTTAGCTTGTGCTAAAGAAGCTTCAAGTTTTGGAAAACAAGTTGTAGTCTTAGATTTTGTTATTCCATCAGAAAAAGGTACCACTTGGGGAATAGGTGGTACTTGTGTTAATGTAGGTTGTATACCTAAAAAATTAATGCATCAAGCCTCATTGTTAGGCGAATCAATTCAAGTATGCTAAATAATGTATTTATAGTGTATATTTATACTAAACATAACCTAATAATAATTAGGAAGCTCGAAGCTACGGATGGAACATACCTGATCCAATTTCATTCAATTGGGAATCTTTAGTAGAAGCAGTGCAAAATCATATTAAGTCAGTGAACTGGGTCACACGTGTTCAATTAAGAGACAAGTATTTTTATTTATTATTATATTATATATATTATATTCTTATAATATTTAATATTATAATGTAATTTTAAAACATTTACAGAAAAATTGAGTATGTTAATGGACATGGTGTGTTTGAAGATGCTCATACGGTTATAGCAAAGATGAAAAATGGAAAAGAACGACGAATAACAGCAAAGGATATTGTAATAGCTGTTGGTGGACGTCCACGCTACCCTGATTTTCCAGGGTGTAAAGAATATTGTATCACTAGTGATGACCTTTTTTCAATGCCTACACCACCAGGAAATACTCTAGTTATTGGTGCCGGATGTGAGCCAAATATCATATTATTAAGTTATTAAATAATATAATTTATTTTTTAAATTAACTTTTTAGATATTGGGTTAGAATGTGCTGGATTTCTAAAAGGTTTGGGATATGAAGCAACTGTTATGGTTCGATCTATGCTTCTCAGAGGTTTTGACAGGGGTATGGTGAATTTAGTTCAAGCTGAAATGGAAGATAAAGGTGTAAAATTTCTTATTGGAAAAATACCTGTCAAAGTATCGAAGCAGCCAAATGGGAAGTTATTAGTAGAATGGAAAGGTGGAGATGAAGTAAGTGGTACTTGTAGTATAAATTGATACTTGAAACATTTTAGTATTTTATTTATTTTAGATTGGACAAGGAGAATTTGATACAGTTCTTGTAGCTACAGGACGTAAAGCTTTATCTGAAGAATTAAATCCATCTGCTGCTGGATTACAAATTCATCCTGAGTCTTTCAAAATTGTCGCTAATGCTGAACAGACTAATATTCCAAATATATATGCAGTTGGCGATGTATTGCACGTAAGTATAATTAATTAAATTGCAAATAACTTATCTTATTCTGTTCAGCGAGAGGACGCTCAAGTTCTGTACGTCATCCTACTACTTTCTCTAGGCCAGGGGTCTTCAACCTTTTTATGCAGCGGGTCACGTATTATTTTTTAATAATCTTGCGGGCCGCATTCGTAGTAAAAACATGTATTTTATACAAAAATTCAGTTTTATTATTAAAATTTTCATGATTACATTTTAAATTACAAATTATTATTATTATTATAATTAAAACGTGATCGCGGGCCGCTTATTATGACAGGGCGGGCCGCGGGTTGAAGACCCCTGCTCTAGGCCATTGGTTTTTAACCGGTGTTCCGTGTACTTAGTACAAGCGTCCCCCCCAAAAAAAAAAAAAATGTTTAGTTTTCTTTTTAACACTTAAGAGGTTATTTATTAACAATACCCTTACATTTTATTACCATTTTTAACGCTGCTAAATATTCATGCATTGTTTTTATTATTTTTAGTTATACATTTTTTTTTTAAATTAATTTTTTATTTTCATATTGCTGTTAGTGATGCAAACAATGATGTAATCATAATAGTTCAAACTATTCAACCAACTATGATTAGCTTTATTATTATTATTATTATTATGTTCAAACTAATCATTTAGTTTGTGTTCAAAATTTAGGAAAGACCAGAACTAACACCAGTAGCAATTCAAGCTGGTAAATTGTTGGCTGGAAGATTATATAATGGAATCCAAGAACAAATGGATTATGATAATGTTGCTACAACAGTTTTCTCACCTCTTGAGTATGGTTGTGTTGGTCTCACCGAAGAAGAAGCAATCAATAGATATACCGAGAATAAGATTGAAGTAAGTGTACCGTTAGACCATGTTTTGATGAATAAAACTACTTATACTAGTAGTATTGGGTAGTTATTAAAGCTTAAGACTACTTAGCTTAACACCAGTTATTTTAAAACCAGCTTTAATTATTTTGTTGTGAAATGTAGCCAAATGTATATATGCTTGTATATAATTATACAATATTGATATACAATTATTATTTTTATTTTATCGCCCCGTAAGGTTAGATTCATTGATTTAGATCATATACACCATCTATTACTTTATTTATTATCTATAATAACACTTAATTATTTTAACTAATATAACAATTTGAATCTTTTAGTATTAATGATTTTATGTTATAATGTTCAAATGTTGACCGTCTAAATATTATTAAATTCTGTGGTTTCCAGAAGTTTTATGTATAATGAGTTAATATTTATTTACTTGTTTATTTATTATTCCATATAATATTCCTAACTAGGGGGCACATAAAAAATAGCCTGCGTTAAAAGACATACTCGAAAACTTAAATAATTTATTAATATTTATATTTGATACTCATGGATGATATCAATTGTTCTTGCTTATTTCATTAAATGGAAATCTATAATGTGTTATGTTATATGTTATATTTCTGCATTGTTATCTTTGGTCTTACAATATATTTTTAGGTATACCTGTTTTTTTTTTAAATTTGTACAGTTTATAATTATGTTTTTTTTTCTTAGGTTTATCATGCATACTATAAGCCTACAGAATTTTTCATACCCCAGAAAAATGTTAAACATTGTTATTTAAAAGTTATAACTCTTTTAGAAGCACCACAAAAAGTTTTGGGTATGCATTTTATTGGGCCTCAAGCAGGTGAAGTAATACAAGGATATGCTGCAGCTATAAAGTAAATAACTTTCTAATCTTATTCAAATATGTAAAAAAAAAATATAGTCCAGTTTTTTAAAATTAAATATTTGTTTTTAATAGGGCTGGATTAACCTACCAACACTTAAAGGATACTGTAGGAATTCACCCTACAGTGTCTGAAGAATTTACTAGAGTGGCCATCACTAAACGGTCAGGTGATGATCCTACTCCACAAAGTTGTTGTAGTTAAACTAATATCTTTTATAGAATTAAAAATATACAATAATTTTTTTTAAATATATCAATTACTCATCCAATTTATTCATGTGGTGTAAAGGTATTAATTATAGTATAAATATTTGTATAAGTATAATACTAGTTAAATGTTGCTTTGGAATTAAAAATTAATCATTTTAATAATTGATTGTTTAATATACTTACCTCCATTCCCTAGAAACCTATTTATATTAAACACTTCAGTTAAATAATAAAATGGTATTGATGTTTGAAAAATGCATTTATTAAGAACTGAACCCTTATTTCATAATATGAAGAACCAGAACCGATCATTTTTTATTTTAAGGAAAGAACCAAAAAAGTTTTTAAGGTTTTAGTTCCTGCCCGCATGCTCCGTCTATAAACGCGTAACATAGCAAAAAATGTATATTGTGGCCTGGCGAGGCGCGTTGGCTGCTACCAGTCGCGGAATGCGGCTGGGATTAAGTAATGGCCACAATTACTAGCTCCCGGATGAATGAACACCCGAGTTTGTAGTAGTTACAAACCTTGCCACACATACACGTGTTTGCTACCTACCGTACCAACCTTACCCCTACTACAGTTCATAACCCCTATAACAGCTAATGGCCTTAGTTGCCGGGCTTAAGTTCAATGAAAAAAAAAAATTGTAAATAATATTAGAGTGAATTGATCTATTACAAAATGTACAAGTATGAATAATATCTTATTTCGTAGGTTTTTTTTTTGACCATTTAAAAACTTAAAATTTGCTATGTTATGCATTTTAACGATGTTCAATGCATGGGAGTGTAATGTCTTCTCATGTATATTTTTATATTAATTATTTAATTTGTTACAACATTGTCTTTGAAACATTTTATTTTACAAAAATCTTTTATAATAATATAACATCATATAATAATATTATGTACAAAAATATTAATATTATTAATTATTTAACTATGATGTAATAACTGTATGGGTTGTAAAGGTGTACCATGAACTATATGTATATACAGGCTATGAGATAAAGATCCCTTTGATAAAAAAAAAGGTTGAACCTTTTATTTCTTATGTTATGAAATGTCCATCAAACATAAAAGAGTGGAATGTTAGTTTTCATTAAACATTTAAAAAAATATTTATTACTTCTTAGAAAGAAATGACTTGTGTAGCAGAAACATTTTTATATTACCTTTTTAGATTTAACAAAATTAGTTCTAAGCTTCATTTAACTTGAACCATTAACAAATAATAATTATAGGTTTGTTTTATTGATCTATATATAAATATATGACAATTAAAATATATATATACAGGCAACAAAAACAATTAGTATTAATAGTATATTAGCATGTACTTATTATGAAATATTCATACACCAATAGTCCATATATTAAAAAATTATAATTCATAAAAATACATCGTAATCATAAGAAAATCTAACAATAACAATATTTTTTTTATAAAATGGAGTGTCCCCGAAATATTGTACTTTGTATTACATGTACATACCTAAGAACTTAATATCGTAATGTTTTTGAAAATTGTAAATTTTACTTTAAATTTTGAGATTTTTTGATTTTAATCCATTCGTCAATTTGATTTTTCAATTCAGTATTTGTTATTACCATATCCATAGTCAAATGAGAACGATTAAATGGATCGGTCTGATCACTTAATAAATGTCTAACAAAAAAAAAAGAAAAAAGATTACACAAACAATTTTTAGAATATAAAAGAAAATGATATACTATATTACCTTGCTATAGTGGATCGGTCAACATTCATTTTACTCGAAGGCAAAATCACAGGGTCTACCATGAGAGTAGACATAATAGGGTCTAAAAAGTTTTCTGGGGCTTCTGTAAGTAATAACTCTTCATCATTACTTTGTTGTATTGCTAGTTTGGATACTCTTTGCGCTATGTTAGTAATTCCAACAATTAATGATGCTCCTCCAATTCTTGCTGAATATCCAGAAAAAATATTAAAATTTAAGACTTATAAGGGAATATATCCCTACTAAATCTAAATAAAATTCTTGTTACCATAGCCAAATTAATAATTAATACCTTAAATCAATAATTTAGTGTACACTGCCTATTCAATTTACTATTTACTAGGTTTTAGAGCTTAGATGATTATGAAATGATACATTTTTCTCTCTATTCATCCAATTTAATGCTGATTGGGATACAAGTTTTACCGATTAGTAGTCAGTTCTCCAGACTCAAATAGGACCGCGCCTAGTGTGGATACCGGAAATTGTTTAAAAAAACATTTTATATTATTATGTATTTAGAAATATACAGGGTGATTTTTAAGCATGCTCACCCCATTTTTGTGATTAAATTATGCATACATTCAAATTCTGATTTTTGGAATTTTTAAGTGTGATAAATACGATATTTTTGTGTACTTAGTTATTTATTTACTTATTTACTTTATTTTTCTCAACATTTAAGGATTATCCTGTGGCGATACCAACTTTTGTTTTCAAATGACAACCTATATGTTTTAAAGCAAAATGTATTCATATAATTTTTCTGAAAATGTTGACGTATTGTAATCAAAATTTGCACGAAAACTTCCTTAGTTATTCTTGTTTACATACTAAAGAATAAGACTATTATATATTTTTAGACTATTATATTAAAATGTTTTGTAAAACGGATATGAGCTCGATAATTATAATTCGGAATGCAATATAAGATATTCGTCAACAATTATTACCTAACCGAATTATAATTTTTGAGCTCGTATCCATTCACAAAGTATTTAGTATTTAATATATTACTATCCTTATTCCTTAGTATGTAAAAAAGAAGAACTAAGGAAGTTTTCATTCAAATTTCGATTACAATACACCAAAATTATCAGAATCACATTTTGTTTTAAAACATATAGTTGTTATTTGAAAAACAAAAGTTGGTATCGCCACATGATAATTCTTAAATGTTGTAAAAAATCTAAGTACACAAAAATATTGTATTTAACTACACTTAAAAATTCCAAAAATCAGAATTTGAATATATGCATAATTTAAGCATAAAAATGGGGTGAGCATGCTTAAAAAATCACTCCGTATAATAACCAAGTACATAATATGGTTATAATTTTTTTTGACAACATTTGAATAACAGAGCATTTAGATACAATAATTATAATTCCGATAATAGAGGGTTCGTATAACAGAGGTCAAATAACCAAAGTTCTACTGTATTTTCATTCAATGATATATATGTTTACAAACATTAGTGTTATTTGTAGATATACAAAGCAATTAATTTTTTGTAATAGGTGCCTAATTGTTTATTGTACCCAAGGTAACTAATATTTAGCACTTTTTATGAGTGTATTTTTTATCAACATTTTAAAAAAGCTTCAGATATAAATTGGATATTTATTAAGTGAATTAATTTAAGGTATGATTACAGAAAAATAGTCATGACCCAATGGATTTGATCACTTTTAATAAAAATTAACTTTTTTGCAAAAATGAATAACTAAAGAGCTGATTATTAGGTTCTTAACCCTTTCACTGCTCCAAATATACTATTAAGTCCAAACCATTTACACAATTTGCTGTCCCAGGCATACTATTACGTTAATGTATTTTATAATATTATCATTTGCCATTAACCATACAATTTTAGGAAACCCTAGTTTGCATTATTTTAAACTCTTATAATTAGGTCATATAGATCTCCAAATTAAAATTTAAAAAAATATATACATTTAAGACAATAAAAATATTGATTTTATTTTTAATTTAACAATACCTAAGACGTCTTCAGTCTGTTTAAAAAGCAATGGATTGTATGATCGTCCATCTTTGGAAACAGCTAAACAAAATGCTTCACCATATTCGCTATCCCCCAAATGTACATATATCATACAAATATTCAAAACTATTTCAGCTGGTTCGAATTTGTATTCCTTCATATCTTTTACCTGTATCAAAATGTAAGAGCATATTTTTAAATCATTGAATACTTATTGGGGTACAAAATAATTATGCTACTGGTCTCTTTGTTCAATATATTATGTTTTTGTTTAAATATTTCAAAAGAAATACATAAACTTAAATATTAATATACTATTTATTTTATTTTTTAAATTTAATAATATATGAAAAAATTAAACAAACAACAGTTTTCAAAATTGTTTTTTTTTTTTTAATTGTATATAATTAATCCAAAAGCCGACACCAATATTTTATAAATTACAGTAAAACCTCGCTAAAACGGAACTTCGGTAAGACGGAAACTCCGGTATTACGGAATATTTGTTTAGTCCCGTTTCAAATTACATATAATTTTATCCCGCTAAGATGGAAACCTCGCCAAGCCGGAAACGGACACGTTTTTGTAATGAAAGTTGAATAAAACCCTCGCTAAGACGGAAATATAACACGATTTTTGTGTAATAAATTTATTTTCGTACTGTCGATACCCATGGAAAATCGATATACAAGAGCGTACGATGACATTAAAAACTAATAAAATTGATATGTACACACTATACAATATTATTATCTGAGTTGCTTGGTTTTTGTATTATGTATCAACTGGTTTAAAATAAATATATATGTAATCTTTAATTTTATTCAATTAAAAAATTTTTTGAACCCCGTCAAGACGGAAAAATATCATGGTCCCATGCGATTCCGTCTTATTGAGGTTTAACTGTACTTCTTATAGACATTACTCGTGATATAACACTACACAAATAGAATACTCACTTTAAAATTTTTTTTTTTTGGTCCAACTAAATGACATAAAAAGTAGTTTAACATAGCTGCTACTCTATCAACCATTGTGGGATGACAAAATATTGATTTTATTTCTGATGTAAGGTATTTAAATGTATTGATGGTTTCCTTCCCAAGAATATTATCAAATCTGTAAATATAATATTTTTTAACAAACACATAAGTTAAAATAAATAACATCATCAAAAATTAACAAATTTAAAACAAAAATATACTTACCTAGCAATCATTCCGATATGTTGCAAATATGACATATTTTGAGCTCTTTCTCTTTGAGATAGATTATTCCATTGGCCTGATTCACTAATATTAGATAGAACATACAAAATAAACAACACATTTTGAATTACAAACATAAAAAAAAATTCAAATTTTATATTTTTTTGAGAAATGAATAAATAAATATATCCTATGAACTCATCAATATGGACTGTTTATCCTTAGAATTCAAACTTAAATAATTCAAAAACTACTCATACAAATTTTGATTTTAATACGTCAAAAATTTCAGAAAAATTATCTATTGTAAAATTTATAGTTGAATAGGGGTGTTCTCATTTAAAAAACAGAATTTTTGATTCTCAAAAGAGTAAAGGCACTCCTTAAGAGGTACAAAAAATCTCAAGAATTTGAAAATATGATCTTAAAGTATATTTAAAAATTAAAAAAAAACAGATTTTGAATAACAGCATTATAGAAGAAGAAAAAGGGAGTGAGCATGCTTAGTGAGTCACTCTGTATAATTTATTGACTCTTGTACGAAGCAAATAATATATTATTTTTATTTTTTAATACAGATATTTAAATAAATTTTATTACGATCAAAATACTTCCAAAAACCAGATTTACAAATTGGCTGTATTAAATTTTAAAATTAAAAAATACTGATTAGAAGTTAGAACCAGTTATTTCATCTGTCAGATCTTCCAGTAACACTTTATATAGCACTAGAAGATCTTGATCATTTTCAGCTCACCAAGCAGTAACATTAGATCACACACATGTTTTACTTCAAAAGTCTCCTTAACAAGATTTTAATGTATTGATGTAAGTTATAATTTAAATCATTAGTAACACAATCTACCATTTATTCAATGCCAAACTGAACCCTGATACAAACAAAAAGTTAGTTCAAGAACAAAGACACGTGTCATGTGTCAAATAAAAGGTGAACTCAATTATTGTGAATATTACATTTTTACCCTACTTAATCATCCAGTTTTGATTTTTTTTATTAATCAACAAATTCATGTATAAATATATGTATAATGTTGTAATAAATTGTATATCGTGATGAAATATCAAATGGCAATAATTATATTTACTTACTGAGCAGTTTGCATTTGTCTTAACTGAGCCATATTTGTTAATGCTTCATCTAATAAGAACACAGCATCATTCATTAATAAATTAATGAATCTTAAAAATAATGGTGGAGAAGCCGCTTCCATATTATTCTCGGCATCTTTAGCCAACGATCTTAAAAAACGTATTAAAATAATTAATATTTATTCATTCATTGCCTTTTAGCATTATGGTCATTCGTTAATATATACAATGCTAAATGTTCATGAATAGAATTTACATAATCCACAGTAATTGGGATAATAATTTATACATAAATATATTACTTGAAAACTTCTCTGTGTTCTTCTAATTTCCACAAATAATCCATGACAACATACATAGGTCTGCGATAATTAAATTTCTGCTCAAATTCCACACTTTGTCCAGTCATTTCAATACCCACAAACACATCCAATAGAGCATGAACAATCTTAAAATGAAAAAATTAATAAAAATAATGATTAAATGTTACATTTTTAATTTCAAAGGTTAGGATATTTATGATCTTAATTAATAAATACTCTAAAAAATACACACAAAAATATTTGAGAACCTTTAAGTGGAGGCAAAATCCAGATGTATTGTCTGTGTTACAAACAAACAACAGAGTAAATCTGCATTCGGAATAACCAATTTTGTGTCGTAAGATTAAATATTAAATTAATTGATCTATAATCAAATTTAAGTGATAATATTTTCTAGGGCATCTCATAGACTTTTAACTTTAGTTTTTAATGATATTACAATTTAAATGTGAGTATGAGCATTTTAAATTATATTTTATATAATTATAATTAAAATTAAAATGTTAATACCATTAACATTCTATGAGATGTTCTAGATAATATATTCTTAAATAGAAAACATTCTTAACTATTCTTAACTGATTCAAAATAAACTATACATTTTTAATATTCATGCTTTGCTAGTGTTGTAACAACAATAATACTTTACATAAAATCATAAAATCATAACTCAAGTTATAATAGCATAATTTAATACTAATAATATATTAATTACTTGTTTACGATGGGGATGACTTAGAAATAATAACTCTCTGTAATATGATCCTATTGAGTTTGTTACAGAGCTATCTTCGTCCGTATGTGGTAATAAGCAATCTAAACATTCAGCTAGACGAGCTCGCAAATGTGGATTTCTCACTCGACTATTAGATGTCATGAAGATTAAAATAGCATTTAATAATTCACTAACTAATGAAAACCCAGGTTCCTCTAAAGAGCGAGAATGAAAACGACGCACTAATGTTAAATATCGCCAAATATTTTCCAACAAAAATTCTGGAATGCATCTAAAAACATGAATAATTACTTTTAATACCTACATATTATTTTAGTTAGGTAGATAAAGTTTATAATAAATTGGTAACTGTACTTTAATGTAGGAGGAACAACACTAGGCAATGGAAATTCAATAACTAAGAATTTATTTGGACAATAAGATTGAAGATTATTTGATTGGAAATCTTTGTCTACATCCAACACAACTTGAGTAAGCCAAATACATGTTGCTTTTTGAAATTGACTCAAAAGATGTAATGTTGATGGTTCTAAAAGAGCAGCTTTCATAGATAGATATCTAAAATAACAGTAAAATATAGTTTCATAAAATAAATTAGTTGAAATGTATATTGTATAAATAAATAAATTATTAGACAAATTATTATTGATAATCAAAATATATGATAATCATACATAAGAAAATTATTTTTTTTTTAATACAGTTACATTTCTAACATTTAAATATGAAGAGAACAAAAAAGAAACAATTAAAAATTTATGAAGTCTATCATAGAAAAAATTAATATATTCTATACTTTTTTCCCACCTTCTAAATTTTTTTTTTTTTTTTAACAACCCAAATTAAATTTTAAAAAGAAAGAAAAGCTTATTTATTATGGTAATAAAATTATTAGCCGAGTATTAGCAGTCAGTTGGTATAATTTTATTTGAGCAGTTGAACCTATGCAAAATAAATATTATTTTAGGATGTTTGAATCAAATAAACACCAAAATAATTCAAAATTTATATCAGTAGAAAACACTATATTTCTAAAACAAATTGTTTGAATAATAAATGGTTAAGATTCACTTCATTTAAACAATTCAATTGAATTTACTTGGTCATTTCACCTTCCATTCGATCATTAATAAGTTTCATTACTTCAGATGTGGCTGAACCAGATTGTTGAGCATCTACAAACGTCTGTTGCATTCTTGCTAACTCTTGATTAATATTTGTCATTTTTTCTTGCACTTGAGCAAAACCTATCTCTAAAGACTTTTGTGTCATGTAAAAACATTCTGTAATAAAATTAAACTGTCCTTTAGCTACAGGTCTTTGGTCTGATGAATTATCTTCTCTAGAATCATCAACATTAGTTGGTAAAAGCATAGTGTTTTCATTTAGTTTTAATAGATGTACTCCACGTTGTCTACTTTCTTCGTTATTATGAACCTAAGCACATATATATTAGAATAATAACTTGGAATATCAGTTATAAATAAATATAACTAACCTTTGCAGCACAGTAGGTAGGATCAATTTTCAATAATTTTGGGTTATCTGTATTAGAAATAAATGGTTGACACAGCCTTAAAAGAACCGCACTTAAGTTTAATGCAAATCCATCTGAAATAAATCCCAACATTGACATTTCGACATTCCATAATTTACAGCGTCCCATGTTTTTTTCCAAACAACTTCCCAACCAAGATAATGTTTTATGTTTTACTTCAGGTCCAGCTTTTAGTAGGTTTAATAATATTTTATGTAATTGAACATGTAACGTCTCCAAACCAGACCATATGTTACTTTCCAATGGACCAGATAACTGTTACAAATAAATATTTAAAATAAATGTTATAAAATGGCAAAAGTTATTTAATACTAACCTCTTCCATGGGTTTTTGGAAATATTCAAATCTACCCCCTGGTGTTTGTGGTAAACCTGATATTGCAAAAGTAGCTCCAAGCACTGTGTTTGTAAAATTGAAACCGGGAGATGTATCTGGTACATAACAATCATCAATCAACGACTACGAAAAAAGAATACATTTAAAGTAAAATTAAAAACAAAAAGTATTCATAAAAGATACTAGAACAATTTCAAATGATTAAAAATATTAATTATAATGTTTAGAAATGAATAAATCGTTTATGCTAGTATCTACTAGTGTTCCCAATAAAAAAGTTTACAATTTTAGCCATTGAAAAAATGTCTATCTACTAAAACAAGTTAAAGTTGTACCAACGATATTATATCATGCACATTCAATTAATAATAAATAAATAATACCACTTTCTTTTTTAAAAAGAAAAAATTTTTTCCTAACATAAAATTATCCTTAATTTTATCATTAAAATAGAAAATACCTGTAGCTTGCTCGTTTTGTTTTTTTTTATTGAAACTTGGTTGTACAATTAATTTCTTGCTCGTGTGTTAAAAGCTACACTTAAAAATTAAAAGCCACATAGAACCCACAATATACACATAATATTGCTATTTTAGAAAAATTAGCAAAAAGTGACAGTCTCTTTTAATGAACACCCACAATACATAGTGTGTTTAGATCTAAGACCATTAATAACGATGTTATAACTACTTAACAATTTTAACTTGAACTTACATTAGCTAATAATAGTTCTGCAGAGAATACTTGTAGTAATGCAATCTCACAATGCGGTAAAAATATAATTGTTGATTGTAAAATTTTTTCTTTTACTTTCTCAAGTATTGGATGGTATATACTTTGAATTTGTGACTCTCCATCATCTTCATCCGAAATAATTTGTTTATTAACAGAAGTAAAAAATTTCACATAATCTTCAAAGGATGCCATATTAGTTTCAAATATTTTTAAAACCTAAAATTGAAAAAAACATTTTGAAACATAAGTAACATCTGTTTCAGTATAGCAAGAGTTCATTTTTTATAATTCGGTCATAAAGAAATATTTAAAATATTCAAAATTGTATTGAAATTAACATTGTAAGAAAAACTGTATCTTAGAGACAAGTTATCAAATAAATCAAAATGTCAATTTGCTTTTAGGATAAAATAAAAATCCACAAGGATCTTAATTTTAGTAACCACTATCTTTGTAAAAATTAACTACCTCAGAAAATATAGAAATAATCCTGTCAGACATAAGATATAATTAGTTAGGTATACCATAAATAATATAATCATATCAAATATCAATAGCTTAGTGAGCTAATATTATAAGTGACAAATGTGAAATTGTCCAGACATCAAGAAAAGTTTCACTGTTATTCAAAATTAATTTTTCGAATATTATAATAATCATAACATTTTGACAATAATTGTACTATTAGAAATTAATACACCTTCATTTAAGGTATTCAACAGGGTTAAATACTGCATTAAAAGATTGAAAAAATATTTTTATCTTTAAAAAAGTACTTTTAATAGGTATGTGTATTCTAAACCATTGTTTAAAACAATAGAAACTACTAATTCAATAGTTAAAAAAATTTAAATACACAAGCTAAATAAAAAAAAAGCAAATTTGATACTCTTTAGGACAATCCAGTAACTATCATCAGTAAGTTGAACACAGTAGCTATTCACACGTCCAACCTGGAACTTGGAAAATGATTTTTAATTTAAACATTGTTTTTACAATTAGTTTCAACATTTAAGTATTTGCATTACATTGATTCAATAAAAAATAGAAGACACTTGCAAAGAGGAAGAGGAAAAAAACAAACAAAAATAAGGTGACTAGTGTCGCAAATCATAGTGGTCATTGTGGAATGCGCAGAGGAGGGAATCATTCAATGCATTTTTAAAAGAATGAGAAAGAGAAGTATGAGACCAAAGCAAAGACGGAATAACTATATTATGCATTTCCTAGAGACATTTATGGTGTGAAACCAGGGTGTTGGTGGAATTATTGAGAATATATATTTTTACTAGGTGGTATAACGAGGTGGAAGTAATTCTCAGTACTTAAGCCATAGATTAGTTATACAAGCCTTAGGCTGGCGATAAATTCGGACTATAGCATTTATTTTTATACCTTAAAGTTTAATATTAATTGATTAATTTATAATTTCTTTTAAATAATATCTATCAACTGTATAAAATTAATTTAAATGTACCTGATCTTTAATGTTTTGAGGACTATATAGATCAGGTTGTTTAAGTGCTGTAGATACATTCGTACACAAAAAACCAAATATTTTAGAGTAGATGTCTTCTCCGATTGATGGATAACGATTTTCTTGTTTAGCAAAAGTCAAATCAATGAAACATTGAAATAAATAAACAATGCACTCTTTCTCAGTGGTATGTGAAGTAATTGATACATTGTGTTTAGTCTTGAGTAAATATGTTATCGGATCAGCCAACAGTGTTCTTTCAAAAATTGATTGTTCAAGAATTTCTAATTCTGCTCCATTATTGACATTTGACTTCAATATTTCTAATAAATCTGGTAAATAAATAACTGGAGAGTCGTATTCTTTATCGAAACTAGGTATCATGGTAAAATGAAATACATTTTCAACAAGTTTATTTAAAGTTTCATCAATGCCATTATTTACTAATGCCATTTTAGAATTAGAATCTTTTATGTTATCCGTAGTTTCACATGAATTATCGAGATTATTTTTTTGAAATATAGAAAATTCGTTGCTCGACATTTGTATTTTGTAGTTTGTACAGCGTACACGTATGAGTAAAATAGTTAATCGACAGCATACAACAGCCAACAAAATTAAACAACTATTATAGTATTATTGTTCCCAGCGGATTAGGCGAATGAATGTTACATATTATCTTAGTTTTTACATTTTATGATAAGGATAACGAATAAAAATATATTGATCAAGGCCAGTCATGTTTTTCATAGTAATATTAAAAGTTGAGATGCAGCTGCGTAGTCAATTCTCGGTATACACGGTTGTAACTTGGTTATTACCACAGATCTATAACATTAATGGCAAGACAGCAACAAGATTTTCAAGAAGAAAAATTCGATACGTATCGATACGTACCAACTCGTATCGAAGTCCGAGTCCGATACGGGTCGGTACGTATCGCTTGTATACTGCACGTGTAACTTCTTGAACGCTCAAAATTGCCTTGATACGACGTATCGATACACTCCAAATTCTTCCTTGAAAATCTTGCAAGCTATCGGAGGGCCTTAAAAAACAGGAAATTAGTTTTCGGGAAAGTTATTATCAGAACGATATTTTCTTTAAAGCTTGAGCCATACTTTTCATGAACACTATTCAACAAGATATTGATTTATTTAATATTTTTTTCAAAAATAAGTATAGTATATCTATGGTATTATTACATGATACCAAACAAGTAACTTACAATCATAATGCAATTTGATCGACAAGACCCACAATCACAGATATCTATATTTTGCAGCGTAGAAGTCTATGCCCACAATTTAAGGAGACGTTACTAAATTTTATGCTAGGCAGTTCTCGTTTAGCTCCGTTAACTTAAAAATTAGAGTGAATTGACCTTATAAAATTTTAAAGTAAGATTATTATCTAGGTAATGTTATGGGCATTTTATTATATTTAAAGCAAGTTATGCTGGGACGCCCGTAGAAAATCAGATCGGTGGGTGCAAAATTAAATTTATGTGATACATTATAGGTAGTCACATATTTACATTATACACTATTTTTTTGGTTCAGGGAGTCCCCTGAAATTATGAGTATTTTAAGAATTGCAACCAATTTACAATTTTAAAATAGGTACCTACTGTACTATCACACAATTGAACAATATATGGCTAAAATGCACTTTACCAACTCCCTCAAGATTTTCAATTTTTTTTAAACGATTTGTTTCTTTATGCTAACGATGGAGTAAAATGTTACCTAACTATTATTTAAAAGTTAAAGCCTTTTCAAGTTTGTGGCTATATGGTACATAGGTATGGCTCGCATGCCGCACATCACATACCACAACAGTCACTAGGGCACGTAATAATAATAATATTATGAACACGTCAATACGTCATTTGTCATTATAAATACTGTAAAATATATTTAATAATACTATAAAGATATTACATTATTTAAATATTTTGAGTATTGATCATTATCTCCACTGATTGACTCATTTTCACTTTTTGACTTTTCAATTTCCTCTATCTCAACATGATCAACATTTTAGACATGGGGGTGGTTGGTGGATAAGCCCGCATCTAACTGAGGCTGTAGGCGATGTCAGGCCTCCTTGGTTTTGGCAAACGAAGATGGTAGTTGAAGGGAGCCCACCTTATTCGTGTTACTTTAACTAACATAGTTAAGTTTACTTGTTAGGTTATCCATCTGCCTGAAGGCAGATATGCTTTCTCCCACGACCATGAAGGATTTTTTCTATTTTAGCCAAGGGTGGGGGGGGGCTGAGCCTCCAACCAACTCGAGATCCGGAGAACCTGGAGTTTGGTGATCAGATTCGGAAAGTGAAGGGAGCCACTATTTATGTCACTTTAACAAGCAATAAGGTTACAATATACTCATTAGCCTGTTGTGTAGGTAGCTACTTGAACATAATTGCAAAACAACTTGATATAGCTTATTCTACTGTCATAAAGATAATTTAATATGCATAATAATAATAATATACAATTTATAAATGATAAAACAGTTATAACAAATAGTGATTTTGATATAAAAATGTAGATATATATTATGTCAATAGTTAAAAAATACAGAAAAACAAAAAAAATTCATATGCGTTTCAGGAAAGTTACATAATATGTTGCGCTCGTGCGTATAAACGTAAAATCGCAAACATTTTTTTATTACTTCTAAAATAATAGTTTCCGGCAGAAAAAATGCCCCATCGTTTTAAGCATAAAGAAACAAGTCGTTTAAAAAAAAAATTGAAAATCAGGAGGGGGTTGTTAAAATGCATTTGTTCCTAATCTGTGTCTTAGCGATTTTATTTTTTTTTTTGGTACCACTAACAAATGATATTTAATAATTAAATAAAAAAAAATGATAACTTAAGTTGTACCTATTTATGTATCCAAATATAAAAATGATAAGAAAGATATATTTCTTCGCTATGCGTTGAGGAATTTTGGTAAAATTGGTTGTAGCGTTAAGTGTGGTGATCGTTTGACGACGTCAATATTATATAAAACACAATGATAGATTAAATAGGTATGACGGTATGTCAGCAACTTTGTGATATGCAAATCTGCGAAGATAAAAAATCAATTGGCCTTGAACGTTAATTTTTCATGATCTGAACAATAAGTATTTAAGATTCTGAGCGAAGCGATTAATATATATCGAAATAATGCTTCGATTTTCATATTCAATATCTTTTCCGGTGGGAATCTAGTAGGTGCATTTGGGAGGTCTACATTTATAATTCTCAACAGTTTTCAAAAGCATCGGGAAACGTAAACAAAAAATTAAATAATAACTGGAATTTTTACGCAAAATCGGTTTTCAGCAATATCAATTTTGATTTTTGATTAGTTACTCTAAAAAAATGGCCGTAGATACTAGATAGTAGATACCAACGTGCAATTTTCACTGAATGTTTTTGTTATAATTACTATTCACTATACAATTTTCAATATATTTTGAGACATACAATTTTTGAATACCCTATTACTAGTTTTTTTTTTCGATTAATGTATTTAAAAAAATGTTAGCTCGGTCAAAACACTTTAAAATATAATACAAGGTTTCTCATAAGTTTTTGTCAGTGGAAATGAAAAAACAATTGAGCTTAAATCCATAATAATTCTAGATGAGCGTTTGAATTTAGAATTTTAACAGACATCGAAAAAATTCATAAAAATTCTCAAATTATTTTGAGTTATAGAAATTAAATAAAAATTTTTCATTATATATATAAGATTTAAAAATTGAATACAAGATTTTTTTATAAATTTGACTATCTTTATATATAAAAAATTCCACTGGAAAATAAATTAAATTTGTATGTGTTCGAAGTTGACATTTTTTTCAACATTGGATGTTCATTCCATTTTTCATAATCTCGATTTTCTTATTTTTTTATTCAAAAACGAATATTTGTAGACACTTGATATTTACACTATATGTATATTTCATCTTTTCATATACTTGATAGAAATTAAAAAATATTTTGACTTGTTTTAAGCTGTTGACGGATATTTTCAATTTTCATTTTTTTTTTTGTATATACCGTTTCTGTTCTGAATCGTTTTTTGTAAATAATGATATGACATCATTGAATTCAAATTTAATACCATCCATTACAGCTACCTTCTAAACACCTAATGTACAGGCGTACAGTCCACGTGCCCTCTTTTTAAAATTTATTTATTTGACATCTTTTTGGGGGCAGTAAAAATGCTTCAATTTTCTTCAACAGCATCTTCTCTGTAAGTAAATCTAATTGGTACTTATTGAATGGGTCAAAAGTAATAATTACCCATAGTTTTTAAAAGTCACTGGATAAACAAAAAAAAAACTAAGGAAAAACTGAGATATTTACTCAAAAATAGGTTTTGTTCTTTAGTATAACTTAACTAAAAAATAACCCAGTATAGACGAAACTGTCACTGAATGTTTATATAAGCATATTCATCTGAATTAGAAATTTGTAAAAAATTACTATTTATAGTTATGTTTTGCATATTTAATACATGATTCCTCTTAAATTTCCATAAATTAAAAATAATGTTTACTGGAAAGTCATATTATTTTTTTACTACGGTTTAAATTAGACATTAAATGTTCACCCTTAAATTAATAAATATTTTCATACAACGATTTTCTTATTTGGTTGTTATTTCAAAAAATAGTAATCGTTGGTAGGTACTTGAAATTGTCATTAAATGTTATACTTATATACGTACTTATTGAAGTTATATTATAGGCTGAAAGACCGTCTCCACTCAGAATCGTTTTTCGTATGCAATGAATTTATATATTGAATTCAAATTTAACAAATTCATTACAGTGACTATATGTCTATATGGACACCTAATGTATAGCAGAGCGGGGTATACTTCCACGTCAACACTGCCACAGTCCAGAATTATGCAGACATTAGAACTTCATTAAAAATACCTGAACACCTTTATAAAGCATTTGGACCCGATCATGAAAATTACAACAAAATTTTAACTTTCCTCAAAACAACCAAACTTTATAACCTTATAAAATTATATGTATCTAACAGCAAAAACTGTGTCTTCTTTTCTACATGGTACATACTAAGATTAATCATATTTTAATAGTATAAAATTCTATAAAGTACCTAGCTATCTGAATGTAACAGTAATATTGTAAATACGTAAGCTAATAATCTCAGTTGTTAAAACTTTAAAGTAATAAAAAAAAACCTAATCAAAAGTCCAAAGAATAAAAGTTGAAAAAGTCCAGTACATATGATTAGGTGAACGAAAAAATATGATGTGAGGCACAATCAAACATCCAACTATTATTAATATAAATTGGAAACTAAATTATTTACCTGTCGAAATTAATAAAAAATCTTGTAGGTACCAATATCGCCTAAATATTCACAAAATAAATCTATTAAATATATTATATATTACATATATACGGAAATTGGTAGGTTATTTTAGTATAATTTTTTTGACGATAGTTAATTAAACTGATAACTTATTTACTTATAAACTTAAATATTAGATAATTATTATAATTATTTAATTTTTTTTAAAGATTGTTATACATATATTGTATATACCAGATTTTTTGTAGTTAAGATAGTTAACTATATAGTTAATACGCAAATCCATTTTTCGAAAAAATCGATTTTGGTTTTT